ATCACCAATGACATCATCTTACCAAACCTAAAGGTCAGTCTTCTGTCTTCACCCATCTGACATAGCTGACTACTCTCCTTTCTCAAACACGGACCTCTTTTGGCTCCCATGACACCACACCGCTCTCTCTTGGATTTCCTCCTGCCTCTTGAACCTTCCTTCAAAGTCTCCCCTGTTGGCTCTCCCTCCACTAACTAACCTCAAGGCTCAGTCCTAGACTCCTTCTCTTCTTATTCCACAGTCTTGTTAACAAAGAGTCTCGATCTTTTATGTGCCATGGATGCTTCTGGCATCTGGTGAAGCCTATAGACCCCTCTCAGACGAATTTTTTTAAGGTACAAAGTACAAAGGATTACCAAAAATACCCCAACTTTACTGAAAAACTGTTTTCAAAAAGTTTTTGAAAACATATATACGATCATAGGCATGGGCCACCACACTAGAAAATCTCAGCTATTCTCATGACTTCAGAACTATCTGTATGCTAGGGACTCCCTTGTCTACATTTCTAGCCCAGACCCCAGTCTTCTGAGTTCAGAATGGTACATTCAACCTCCCATTGACATCTCTACCTGGATATCTTACAGGCATCTCAAATTTTAACACGTCAAAAAAAAAAAAAAAAAAAAAAAAGAAAAGAAAAACCCAAATGTAATTGCTTAAATGCCCCCACTACCCAGCCCTCTTTAGATACCACTTTTCCCATCTCAGTACATGGACTACCCCATCATAAGTTGTTCAAGGCAAAACATGACATCAACCTCCACAGTATCTTTTTCCCTAAGTGATAAGTAAGTCCAATGGACTTGACCTCCAAAATATCAAATCCATCTCTATCTTTCCATGTTGCCAGACTATTTCAAGTCACCAGCCTGCAAGAATTTCCTAACTAGTGTCCCTGCCTTCTCGTAACACTTGCTCCACCATTTACTACACAACAGCCAAAATTTATACTTTAAAAAATTGGTGGGACATGGTGGTTCACACCTGTAATCCCAGCACTTTGGGAGGCTGAGATGGGAGGATCACTTGCAACCGGGAGTTCGAGACCAGCCTGGGCAGCATTAGTGAGACCTCAACTCTATTTTTTTTTTTTTTTTGAGACAGAGTCTTGCTCTGTCACCCAGGCTGGAGTGCAAGGCTGTGATCTCGGCTCACTGAAACCTCTACTGCTGGGGTTCAAACAAGTCTCCTCCCTCAGCCTCCCAGGTAACTGGGATCATAGGTGTGGGCCACCACACCCAGCCAATTTTTGTATTTTTAGTAGAGATGGGTGGCTAGGCTGGTCTCGGAACTCCTGACCTCAGGTGATCCACACGCCTTAGCCTCCTAAAGTGTTGGGATTACAGGCGTGAGCCATCGCACCCAGCCAAGACCTCATCTCTTTAAAAAAAAATAAATAAGTAAATTTAGGTCTGAATCCCACTTAAAACTTTTCAATGGCTTGGTGTTACTCTCAAGATAAAAAACAGACTCCTTACCATGGCCCATAGATCCTGTGTGATCCAGCCCCACTTGCCTCTCCAGCCTCCTCTGGAGTCATCCTCCCTCTTCTCTGGCTATACTCCAAACACAGTGATCCTTCAATCCCCAGAACATGCTAAGGTCTTTTCCACCTAAGCACTCCAAAACACAGTTACCTGTGTTTTAATGCTCTGCCCTAGGCTCTTGGAATGACCAACTTCATTGCATTCCTCAAGTCTCAGCTTAAATCTTGTCAAGTCTCAGCTTAAATCTTGTGTTCTCTGACAGACGTTATGCTGACTATTTAGTCATAAACCCTTGGTTATTCTCCATCACAGTACTCTTTTTGTTGCCTTCATAGCATTTTCCTTATTACATGACTACAGCTGAGTTTTAGACAAGATGGGTTTAAATGCTGTGGGTCCATTTATACACGGATTTCCTTCTGCCTCTGCCACCCCCGAGACAGCAAGACCAACCCCTCCTCTTCCTCAGCCTACTCAATATGAAGATGACAAGGATGAAGACCTTCATAATGATCTACTTCCACTTAATGAACAGTATCTATATTTTCTATTCTTTATGATTTTCTTAATATTTTCTTCTTTCTCTAGCTTTTCTGTAAGAATATAATACATAATACATATCATATACAAAGTATGTGATAATGGACTATGTTATCAATAAAGTTTCCAGTCAACAGTAGGCTATCAGTAGTTAACTTTCTGGAGAGTCTAAAATTATATGCTTTTTACTTTTTTTTTTTTTTTGAGACATGGTCTCACTCTGTTCCCAGGCTAGAGTGTAGTGAAGATCTCAGCTTCCTGCAACCTCCATCTCCTGAGTTCAGGCAATTCTCCTGCCTCAGCCTCCGAAGTAGCTGGGATTACAGGTACCCGCCACCACACCAGGCTAATTTTTGTATTTTTAGTAGAGATGGGGTTTTACCATGTTGACCAGTCTGGTCTTGAACTCCTGATATCAAGTGATGCACCCACTTTGGCTTCCCAAAGTGCTGGGATTACAGGTGTGAGCCACCATGCCCGGTCATATGTATATTTTTTATTGCATGGGGGATTGGTGCTAACCTCTGTGTTGTTCAAGGGTAAACTGTATTTATTTGCTTATCTGTTTCCTGTCTTCTCCCATACCTATAAAGGAACACCAATAAGAACAGAGGCCATTTTACTCACTACTCTGTGTCCAGGACCTAGTGCAGTGCCATGTAGATCCCAGGTATAATCAATACATATGTGTTGAATAAATATGGTCTTTGCCCTGAAAGCCCTTTCCATTATGGGGCAATAGGACTCTGAAAGCCCTTCAGAAAACACCTGGTAGACTGAATCCGTGATTCTATTGAACCTTCTGAATTAGTGTTTTTCCAAAGGAATTGTGCTCCTGAGTTTCATTCTGAGAGAACAATCTACAAGCTTATAGGAAATACATAAGACTATTCCTACGAGGAGTAGAGTATATAAAGAGGACAGTAGTAAAAAAAAAAAAAAAAACTTCTAAGGAAAATAAATAGTGTGCCTAGGAATTAAAAACTCATAACAGCAAAGAGAGCAGAAATATAAGTATAATTCTATGGAAGCTTAACAACATTGAGTCCATATGAAATGGCATAATGGCATTAAAGAACTACAGATCTTTAACAAAACAGGTGTTAAGTTAAAGCTGCCTCCAAACATAGTGAACTGTAACCTAATTTAATGTATAAACAAACTGTAACTTAAGAATTAGGTTACAAGTATAACAAATAGCTGAGTATCAACCAATCATAGCAGCTGAAACCTCCAGCCAATCAGAGGCTAATGGCTGCCAAAACATGACCAAATAAGGCAAACACAAGAACTGTAGCCAATCAGACTATTTCTGTATCTCATTTCCTTTCCTCTGACTATAAATATAGTCTGCACAACCTCCACTAAGGAGTGGAACATTCTGCACCACTTTTGGTCCTGAGTGTTCCCTGAACCGTTTTCTACTGGATTAAACTCTGTTAAATTTAACTTATCTGTCTAAGGTTTTCTCATCTAACACAGACAACATTTCTAAATAAAAAAGACAATAAAGTCCCATTTCTCCACTTTACAATTACAATATGAATCCTAGGCAGTCCACTCTTCCACATACTTTTCTTTAGAGCACTGGTTTCAAAGAGAGGTGATTCTGTTCCTTAGATAACATCAGATAACATCTGGAGATATTTTTGGTTGTCACACTGTGGGGAGGAGGGATACTGGAATCTAGTGAGGAGAAACCAGGGATGCTGCTAAACATTCTGTTACACACAGGACAACTTCCACAACAAAGAATTCAGCCCAAAAGGTCAATAGTGCCAAAGTTGAAAAGACCTGCTTTAGAGGAATATGTGATCAAAAATTTAATGTGATATAACTGGTATGTGTATATCATCTTTTGGAAGACAGCTAAGAAACTACTAAGAGTGATTGTCTCTGGGGAGGAGAACTGAGGGTTTGCGGGGAAAGAGGAGTGGGTGGGGAGACTTTTTTTGAGACAAGAGTCTCACTCTGTTGCCTAGTCTGGAGTGCAGTGGCGCAATCTTAGCTCACTGTAACCTTCGCCTCCCAGTTTCAAGTGATCTTCCTGCCTCAGCCTCCCAAGTAGCTGGGATTACAGGCTTGCGCCACCATGGCTGACTAATTTCTGCATTTTTAGTAGAGACAGGGTTTCACCATGTTGGCTAAGCTGGCCTTGAGCTCCCGATCTCAGGTGATCTGGCTATGTCAGATCTTACAGGCAAGAGCCACCACACCCAGCCGAGACTTACTTTTAACTATAGCTACTTTTCTGTGCCTCTGAATTCTGCACCATATATATATATGTTACCTACTCATAAATCATAAATCAGTAGTAAGAAAAATAACCAAAAAATAGCCAGTGTGGCTCCTGACTATGATCTCAAAAGACTACCTTTGAGTAGTTCTTTGACTCATAGAACATTACTAAACGGAAAACAAGAAGAACAGGACCTATGTTGTAGAACAAATCCTGAATTAGAAGTTAGAAAACTGAGGTTGTGTCACTTCAAACACGAGCATATCACCAAACACTGAGCTTGTTTCCTCATATGTAGAATGTAGGGTAGTGTGCCCTACAACATGCACACAGAACTATGAAAATCAAATAAAATTATGCAGGTGAAATACACTATGAACTACTAAGAACCAAATACATTATAATTATTTTTTAAAAAGTGCTGGTATAGTGAAAGAACAAGATTAGAAATGATAAATAAGACCTTTAACATTATTCCCTTTCTTCTTCTTTTTTTTAATTGCATTTTAGGTTTTGGGGTACATGTGCAGAACATGCAAGATAGTTGCATAGGTACACACGTGGCAGTGTGATTTGCTGCCTTCCTCCCCTTCACCCACATCTGACATTTCTCCCCATGCTATCCCTTCCCAGCTCCCCACCATGCTGTCCCTCCCCTATTCTCCCCAATAGACCCCAGTGTGTAGTGCTCCCCTCCCTGTGTCCATGTGTTCTCATTGTTCATCACCCGCCTGTGAGTGAGAACATGCGGTATTTCATTTTCTGTTCTTGTGTCAGTTTGCTGAGAATGATGTTCTCCAGATCCTTCCTTGTCCCTACAAAGGACACAAACTCATCATTTTTGAACATTATTCCCTTTCTAAATTATGTATCATTTCACTGTCAATAGAGTTTTAGTTGTTTGCTGTTAATATACTGAAATCTTCTACTTATGCTGCCTACCCTAAGATGATAAACAGCTCCAGGGAAAGGTCTTATTATGATGAGCCACACAAACTGTAGGCAATTACTAATTATTTGATGATTTGCATCATTATGATAAAGGTTAAGAGGAAAAAAATTTTTCCTGTATCACTCAATTTGCAACAGAATAAGTAGAAGTGAGGAATTTTGGCTCTGCTAGACCCCAACAATATTTCTATGATTGGCTGCTTTAGTAGAAAGAGGACAGTAAAAGCATTCATCAGTACATAACATGTCTAGTTTAACCACCAACTCTTTTGTCTAACAGCTGGGCTATGTGGGCATAGGCCAAAGAGCTAAATCTCTTACTCATAAATTACTGAGTCATGAAAATAACACCTTCAGCACTCATGTCTTTGAATGGCAAGGACAGCCAATATGTAGGAGTCGCCGGCAAAAATGATTAATGCTGATGATATTGTGAAGTTCTGTAGTTTTAGCAATTTTGAGCTGAATAAGCGAGGCACCCGTCACCAGAAAGGAAAAAGGAAACTGTAGGTGTCTTACGTGATATACTTGTTATAGAGGATGAAGGCATGTTCAATGTTGCCTTCCTCAGAGTAAATGGATGCCATTCGGATAATCTCAACTCCAGAGCGGAAGTACCGACGGGGTGGAATATCTTCATTCACCTCTACCGCACTACCCAGCTGGGAGAGAGCCCTCACCCGGTCTTCGGGCGGGAGGCTCACATCTCCATGGTCAGACATCAGGACTAAGTTCTGAGACAGAAAAAACAGATGGCATCAATACCATTTCCCCCATCATCCCAGCAGTGTCTTATAGTTTATCTCACAGACCTCTACCTTAATAAGAAAATATAAGAGAAACATACCCAATGCTGTGGCTCCTATTAAATAAAGACTTTCTTACAAGAAGACTGAGACTCTCACCCAAATCACAATGATGAAAGGACTGGCAGACTCGAAAACGTACAATCCCTGTCCCATAATTAGGTGGTATAAATAGTATAACCACAGTGGGTCAACTAAAGGTTCAGTTCAAGTTAATCAAATTCCTTTTCATTAGGTGGCTCCGCCCATAATGAGTAGGAGCAGTATCTTTCATTTTCTATTATTTCTCCTTCCAGACACCCACATACCTCCACCCCAGTACCTGGCAGAGTGCACTCAGTGAACTTTCATGAGGATTGTTAATTGACTTCAAGGTTGACCATTTTTATTTAATCTGAGAGTGACATTTTCTGTGGTATACTTTTTCATATTTGAGCACAAGGTGAGTTAGGGGAACTGGTCTGGGAATTAATGCTCACAATCATAACTCTGCTCACTAAACCACTACAGTCAATCTATAAAATCATCCATTCATCATGGCAAGGAATTTGGATCTTGAAAACAACCATTTATTCATCTTCATAGACTAAGCATTCTTTGAATAACAAAAGGGCACGATGTAACTTGGATTGCAAAAACCAACCAACCAACTCAGCAGATTTCCCTCTTGGGGTCCAAAGACTCCAGCAATTCTTGTCTTTCTAGGTATAGTTGCTGTTAGAATCAGATTCCAGATTCCAACCAGGTATCACCACTATCATCTCCAAAACAAATCTGTGCAATTGATACACAATGCATTACAGCAAACCCTAATCAGCATGCTCTAGAATATACAAGCTACAGTAAAATTAATCTTGGAATTTAAGGCCCTGTGGCAACGGGCCCTCCCCAGCAGAGATCTTTTGCTTCAGTCAGGACTCCAATCGGCCCAGGCATCCTTACATTTCAGTTTCATTTGTCTATCTACTGTTTTTCTTTTCTGCTACAACTCTTCCTTCAGGGGCAATCTTAGCCAATTCCATCTTTAGGTCTCTTCAATATTCGGGTCACAATGCCTCCACAAAGCTTCCCCTCTAAAACACCCTCACTAATAGTACAAAAGCCGTGAGGACTACTAGGGATGCAGAGACAGTCCATCTCTCAAGAGGCCTCTTTAGGGATTCAGAAAGCCGCAAGCATATCTAAAACCTCCCCAGGTTGCCTAATTAGTAAACCTACTCCACAGCCCATTTAAGTTAACTAAAACAGAGGATGGTCGTTGCATCTCAGTACCTCTTGGGAGAGGTTCTTGTGGGTTAAGAAAGGAACCACCTCCCGAGGCCAGGAAGCGGCGCCGGGTACCAACGGGTTGAGCAATTCCAAAAGCGGGATGCAGCATCTGCAAATGAGGGGGAAGGGCGGCGTAAAGGACCGAGGGGAAAATACGAGGAGGAGAAAGGAAGTAGCAGGTATGAGCGGAGGGGGCGTATACAGTCGGAAGGGCTCCACTGACAACTGCCTGAGGAGCACTTCTTGAAGGCACTCAGGACCAAGTTGCCAACCCCGGGCACAATCATTCAGGGTTTTCAGGATCGTTCAAACGCAGCAGGCGGGGAAACGCTGGGCCTGGCTGGTCAGGCGCCAGCCCGCGGAGACCGAAGCCGTCGGGTGCCTCGAGCGAGGCAAGCCGCGCAGGGGACTCGGGGAAAGAAGGCTGCAGGCCCCACACTCACGGCAGCCGTTCCCCTTCAGAGTCCGACCACAATCAGAGCCCCTGCCCCACCACGTTCCCGGGACCCTTCCCCACCTTTCCCCGCAGATGACACTCGGAGCTTCCGGAAACGTCACATCCGGCGCCCGCTCCGCCCACTCCCTCCCGTCGGTTTATTACTCTCTCAAGGATTTAGGACTTGGGATGGAGAGCTAGTTGGTGGGGCGTGAATCACCTGCTGAAAATCTGACCAATGAGGAGCGAACAATGCATCGGCCATCTTGGTAAAGGGAAAAGGAACAGGGAAGAAGACGGAACCAATGACCAAGCTAAGGTTTGGTTTTAAAATTATTTTGATTTGGGTTAGCCCCTCATCACGCTCACAGTACTCCTGCTTTTAAGTAGGGATTGCTGATCCCAGTACACCTGCGTACTTAGCTAAACCAGGATTTATAAATTGGGGGACCGGAAGTCTTTCGAATGTATTTTTCAGCTTGCGTTACATTCTACACAAAATTGGTAGTCTTAGATATTAGGCAATAGTTGTTACTGCTTAGAAAAGAAGATGAGTCTAACTTTTTTTTTTTGGTAAGACAAGGTCTTGCAGGGTCACCCAGGCCAGCACAGGAGTGCAGTGGTGTGATCAAAGCTCACTGTGGTCTCCAACTTCTGGACTCAAGCAATCTTCCTGCTTCTGCCTCCCAGCGTACTGGGATTACTGGTGTGTGCCACTGCACCGGGCTGAGACTAACTTTTTAATGTCAAAAAAACTATAAAATATTTGAAAAAAAAGGGTTTAATCTCTAAGAGCCACTATGCAAAAGCAGTGGAGACACAAAGAACTGTGTGACAGTTCCTGTGCTGAGACCGGACAAGGTGGTTTTATGCATCAAATACAGAGTGGCACGTTCTGCATTTAGATGTGTGTCTGTATGAATCCATACACACTCTCTTTCCAAAAAGGTCCTGCAAGCTTGCTAGTCATTCTGCCTCAGGAGACTTTGTGAAACGTTATGCTTTGGTTTAAAAGTCAAAGTCTCTGGGGACACTTTCCCCAAATTTGGGAGCCTTCCTGTGAGTTAGTTAATGTGATGACATGACCTGTTCTTCCAGGTCTAGCTTAAAGCCCTAGTTCAGATGTTGCCTCCTCCACCTAGCCAGCCTTCAGATCTCTCATTTCTCCCAAACTCTGTTGTGTATATTTTTGTTGGAGTTACCTGAAGTGATTCTATGTAGTCATCAACTTTTCAGACTAGGGTTTGAAAGTACTTAATTGCATCATCACCTCCCCTTCTGCCCCCGGCAAGCATTAATGTACATGGGTCTACTATTGACTCTCATGGATCTACTGCAGATAAATCTGGGAAGATAATTGTAGAGAATGCTCTACCCTATCTTCAAAGCTCTCTCTACTGACTCTTTTCAGAATGTACACATAATGGGTTGAGCCTAAAGAAACTGATGCACTGGAGATGCTGGTCATAGGGTGGGCATATAGTGTAGATAGGGTTCTGGCAGGAGGCAACACAGGCCAAAATCCAATGCATTCAACCTCTCAGTCAGTAAATGTTTACTGAGTGTCTACTATGTTCCAGGTTCTGTTTTAGGTGTTAGGGATACATGAGCAAACAAATCTAGCAGATGGATACTCTTACGGTGGAAGTACACGCAGAAGTAGAACTGGTGGGCAGGAAACATAGGCATCTACTCCCATTGAGCACAATCTCTGAAGTAGTTCTTTTTTTTTTATGTTTAGTTTAACAGGTAAAGAGAATTTACAAACATCCTAGATTTTAAGATTATGGTGAGAAGACTTTAAGAAGCTATAACTGAGACACACATATAAAAGGGATATGCATAAACAGTCAGCGCCAGCCACATAGAGGCTGTTCCTGATATCAGAAAGTTAATATGCACAGTTGCTAGCAGTTCTTAAGGCAATGGCTAAGTGGAGGATCTAGTCATTTTAGGGAGAGAATTTGTAAATGTTGACTATATTTTTTATATGTGGGGCAAAGTTCAATACTCAGCTTTCTAGGGACCCGAAACAACGAGGAAATCTTAGCCAGGGTGAAAGTTTTACATTCCTCATTTCTTGTTTAACTGGAAAAGTTTAAAACTAAACAATTTTGTACACACAATCAGGAAATCAGAGCTGTAAAAGGTTCTTGGCATAACTGAGGAGAATATCCTACCTACCCCTGCCCTAAAGATTGGAGGCTAAGCATGGAAGGTATTCTTTCAGTAAATAGGCTTCAGCAGCTTACTTGGTAGACTAAGACCAAGTTAGGAATTGAGATACTCTTTCCTTCTGGTGTCCACACCTGGCCGTGAACACTTTTCCTGAATATAGCAGCCCCCATCTGGCCTCTTGCATATGCCAATGTCAGATCTCCTGCACTCCTGCATGCTCATTCCTACCTGCTCATTTTCGGGCAGCAGCAAAAGATGCCTAGAATGTGAAGTTCTTAATCTGATATGTAACATCATGGTTTAGAAAACACAGGCCTGAACCAGGTGTGCTGGCTCATGCCTATAATCCCAGCACTTCGGGAAGCTGAGACAGAAAGAGCACTTAAGCCCAGGAGTTTGAGGATATAGCGAGCTATGATTGCACCACTGCCCTCCAGCCTGGGCAACAGAGTGAGACCGTCTCTCAAAAAACAAAACAAAACAAAAAACCCAGGAGGATCACTGGAGCCCAGGAGTTTAAGGCTGTGGTGTGCTATGGTCTCAACTGTGAAAAGCCACTGCATGCCAGCCTGGGCAACATTGTAAGACCCCTATCACTAAAAAGCGAAAAGAATAAAAGGAGGTCGGGCGCGGTGGCTCACGCCTATAATCCCAGCACTTTGGGAGGCCGAGGGGGGTGGATCACAAGGTCAAGAGATCGAGACCATCCTGGTCAACATGGTGAAATCCCGTCTCTACTAAAAATACAAAAAAATTAGCTGGGCATGGTGGCACGCGCCTGGAGTCCCACCTACTCGAGAGGCTGAGGCAGGAGAATTGCTTGAACCCAGGAGGCAGAGGTTGCGGTGAGCCGAGATCCCGCCATTGCACTCCAGTCTGGGTAACAACAGCGAAACTCCGTCTCAAAAAAAATAAATAAATAAAAGGAAAAGAAAAACACAGACCCAGAGCAGCTTTGGAGGGGCATAGGAGGTAAAAACAAGGAAGACTCCTGACTTCAGGTGTATTTCACTTGCATAGTTGGTACTCTTGTGTTAAGTGGCATACCTAGAGGGACAATTGCTTTAAGTACAGGAGGGCATTCATTCTTACTTACTATAATGCATTCTTACAACAGCAGCTAATTATTATTATTATTATTTTTTTTTTTTTGAGATGGAGTCTTGCTCTGTCACCCAGGCTAGAGTGTGGTGTGGTGCAATCTTGGCTGCAACCTCTGCCTCCCGGGTTCAAGCAATTCTCCCTTCTTCAGCTTCCTGAGTAGCTGGGATTACAGGCACCCACCACCACACCTGGCTAAATTTTGTATTTTTTTTTTTTTTAGTAGAGATGGGATTTTGCCATGTTGGCCATGCTGGTCTTCACCTCCTGACTGCAGGTGATCCACCCACCTCAGCCTCCCGAAGTGCTTGGATTGCAAGCGTGAGCCACCACACCTGGCCACTAATGGTCTTTTTAAAGCAAAAATCAGATTCCATCACTTCTGGGCTTAAAACTCGTAACTGAAGTCCCATGGCACTTAGAATAAACATCCATCCTCCTTACTGGGGATTCCAGAGTGACTCGGCCCCTGTTGCCTCTCTGACTTCATCTCCCAATCTCCTTGTGTAATACTCTCCATCCACTCCATCCAAACATCTGCTTTTCCACTCAAGAACTTTGCATAGCTGATTCCTCTTTCTGGGGTGCTTTTACCCTGATCTTCACTTGGCTGGCTCTGCCTTATCATTCATTTCTCAGTTTACATGTTAACCCCCCAAGGGGAACTTCTCTGACCACCCATTCTAAGGAGCCACCCAGTCATCTGTCATTAGTTGTCATTAGTCCTGTTCTAATTATCTTGATAGTCCTTATCACTGATATGATTTGCATTGTTTATTGTCTTTCATTCCCCACTAGAATATAATTTCCAGAAAGACATGATCTTTTTCTGTCTTGCTCGCAGCTCTCTCCCCACTGCCTAGAATGGCTTGTGAACCCAGATGTGACACTCAACATCGTTGAATGTTCAGTTGTTGAGATAAATATTGTCTCACTGTCCCCAAAATGATTTACAGGAATGGGCTAGCTAATTATGCTGATTGCTGAGACGAACAGTGAAAAACAATGACCATTATGCTTTTGGGACCCGTTCTTCTCTACAAGGCACTTAGAGCTAGAAGAAGAAAGCCTCAAGGGTAGATGCCCTTATTAATGGAGAAAGTGTTTATTGAATATCTATCATGCTCATGGGTCTGTGTCTGGCATGGGTCTACCACAATGAAAAAGAAAAACTGAGTTGCAGTTGTTTTAAGGCTTTCGTGGATGAAGATTTAGAAGGAAAAAAAGTCTTTAAAAGATGACCAATATTCTCAAGGGGAGGCTAGGTGAGCTCCATGCATTGAGACACTAAACAGCCTATCTTGAACATTGCTTGGGAATGGAGGGACTATGAAAGCAGAAATGGAATGTGTACTAAAGACAAATTGTTCACATTGTTAAAATTTTTGCTGTGAGTCCACTGGGAATATAAAATGACAAATAGATTTGAAAAGTAAATACTTGGGAAGAAAAAGATATAGAATGAGCTGATTCAAATAAAGGGAAATGTACCAAATGCACTGGGATCTTTTAAGTTTGTGCATTATGAATGCATGCATATGTTTCTTTTCAGCTGGAGTTGGAATTACCCAATGAAATTGTTTCTTGAGAAGGCTACTGTAAAACCAGTAATATGAAGGTGAATCTGTGGTTTGGAGCTCCACCTATAGTTTGTTTGAAGACTTGTCTCTCTCATCGCCAAGAAAAATTATCACTTTGGAAAATGAGTCCTTATGCATGCTTGGAAAGATGTTTAATGTGTATATATTTCTAAATTTATGTTTAAATCTGTACATGAGGAATCCATTTTATATTAGACATATTTTCTTTTGTTACCTGCTTGCTAGATGTGGACTATATAATTTATTTTCCAATAATTCAAAGCCTTTGTTTTAGTGCCATTTTCAAGGTTGCAAATTTCAACAAGAGTTAAATGACATGAGAAACTTTATAGCTATTCGAGAATTGGACATTTTGAGTGAAGGATTTAATCATTGTATATTTGGTTTACATATTTCTTTTCAAATATAGGGCCTGAATTATGACAAGGAACTATATAACTTTTAATGAGGGATAAAGAATTGCAGGTAGCCAAGTGTGGTGGCTAACACCTGTAATCCCAACTTTGGGAGGCCAAGGCAGGTGGATCAGCTGAGGTTGAGAGTTCGAGACCAGCCTGACCAATATGGAGAAACCCTGTCTCTATTAAAAATACAAAATTAGCTGAACATGGTGGTGCATGCCTGTAATATCAGCTACTTGGGAGGCTGAGGCAGGAGTCTCACTTGAACCCAGGAGGTAGAGATTGCGGTGAGCCAAGATCATGCCATTGCACTCTAGCCTGCACAAGAGCGAAACTCTGTCTCAAAAAAAAAAAAAAAGAAAAAAAGAAGAATTGCATGTCACTATGTGTGTACACTAAAAAATATTCATTTAGTTAGTAATTTCACAAATATTTATTGATTATCATCTATGTGCCAGACACTGTTTAAGGCATTAGGCACATATCAGTGAACAAAGCAGACAAAAATTTCCCTGCCCTCAGGGATGTTATAGTTTAGTGACGGATGAAGGAGTGGTGGATTACAAAAATTATCATGATAAAGGAGTCAATTACATAGTGTATTAGAAGATTCAAAATACTGTAGAAGCAATGGGCCCTGGCACATGGAATCAGATTGAGGGAAGGGAGAAGCAGTGAGGCAACTCTAATTCCAACTACTGTGGTCAAGGAAACTCCCATTGAAAAGATTTGAAAAAATACTTGGCAGTAAGAAGAGCTTTCCAAGCAGGGAATAGCAAGTGTAGAGGCCTTGAGTCAGGAGCTTGCTGGTGCATTCAAGGCTCAGTAAGGGGGCTCAGTGTGCCTGGAGTGCAGTGAAGGGGAACACAGCAGTAAATCATGTAGGGCACGAGTCAGCAAGCCAGTGCAGCCTGTTTTTATAAATAAAGTTTTATTGGAACATAGCCATGCTCATTTGTTTATGTATTTTCTGTGGCTGCTTTCATGCTACAACGGCAGAGTAGAGTTACTGAGACAGAGACTATCCCACAAAGACTAACATATTTAACTGGCTCTTTACAGAAAATATTTGCTGACCCCTGCTGTAGGTAAGATTTTATAGGCCACTCATTGTAAGAATGTTGGCTTTGACTGTGAGAAATGAGAAGCTATGGAAAGGATTGAGCAAATGAGTGACAGGATCTGATTTGTGTTTTGAGAGGATCATTATGGCTGCCATGTTGACAAATTTTAGGGAAAAGGGCGGGAACAGGAAAACCAATTAGGACTGTGGTTCAAAAGGTGTAACAGCCAGTCACAGTGGCTCACACCTATAATCCCAGTGCTTTGGGAGGCTGAGGTAGAAGCATCTCTAGGCCAGAGTTTGAGGTTGCAGCAATAAGTTATGATCACACCACTGCACTCTAGCCTGGGCAACAGAGTCAGACCCTGTCTAAAAAAAAATAAAGTGTAACAACGTGCTCCCAAGACACTATATACTACAGCAGATTCATCTGGGTGTAAGTGGGAATTTTAAATTTGTGAAGGATTCATAGCAACACTTAACATTTGTTAGATACTATATGAGCTTCTAGCTAGTAAGTATAGTTCATAGTTTCAACAACAGGTCATGCCACACTCCTTTCAATGATACTATATCTTTGTGAAGCTGGGTTTTTGGCAAGTGCCCTATGCAAATCAATGTGGAACAGGAAGTGAGGCTGGTAATGTCCTTGATTCTAAGGTTTGAGATGTCAGTACCCCACTGGCACAAATTAGCAAGTGATTGTGGTAAAGAGTGAGGTTTTCTTTTAACTTAAATATATTATTTTTCAGATGGCTACTTACTTGTTAGAGCATTGTATTAGTTTCCAGTGGCTGCTGTAATAAATCACCACAACTTGGTGGCTTCAGGAAACAGAAAGCTACTCTCAGAGTTCTGAAGCTCCGAAGTCTGGAATCAGTATCACTGGGATAAAATTCAGGTGTCAACAGGGCTGTGTTCCCTTTGGAAGCTCATGTGGAAATTTTGCTCCTTGCCTCTTCCAGCTTCTGGTGGCCACTGGCATTCTTTGGCTGGTGGCTGCCTCACTCTAGTATCTATCTCCATGGTCACATTGTCTTCTCCTCTCCCGTCTGCGTTAAATCTCCATTGCCCTTCATTTTATAAGGATACATGTGATTGCATTTAGGGCTCACCCTGATAATTCAGGATCATCTCTCCATCTCAAGATCTTTAATCACTTCCAAAGTCCCTTTTTCCAAATAAGGTAACATCTACTGGTTCCAGGGATTAGGACCTGATCTCTTTGGGTGGCCATTATCTAGCCCACTATAGGCAAAAATACGTGTTGAATTATTGGCACCTAACTTCTTTTTGGGGGGTGGGGAGGGAATTCAGTTTATTTAATGTGTTTCTTAGTAATAGAATCATGGGGAATAACAAAGTGGGCTCTGGGTCTCACATTGCTTTGGGGGAGGCTCAGGTTTCCCAGAATCCCTTGTCCCTCTCCACTTTGGGCACCTAGGGGTGGGGCTGGGGAGTGAGAAGGACAAGGCAGGGCATGATTGATTAAAGCTAATAAGCACACAGAAGGCACTGTCGGGTCGTATCTTGGGGCAGGGAGAGGGAGGGTGTAGGCCAGGCCCCAGGTAACACCAGGGGCTCCTCGGCATCCAGACTTGGCCTCTAGTCCTTTTCCTTCCCTTTCTTGGCTTTGGCCTTGGCTTTGGTCTTGGGAGTGCAGGGCTTGGTCACGCGGATGGTCTCCTGGCACTGGGCATTGTAGCGTGCCTTCTTCAGCGTGTCCTGGCAGACTTTGGTGCTGGTTTCCCTATCACACGCAACCCAGTTCTCAACCTTGTACTTGCAGTCGGCTCCAAACTCCTCCTTCCAGTTGCAGGGGATCCTGCACCGGATGCGCTGGGTCTGGGCCCCGCAGGTGCCCTCGTGGAAACCCACGCAGCAATCCTTGCTGCTGCGGGTGCAGGGCCCCCAGGACCACTCCTCCGCGCACTTGCTCCCCCGGGCCGTACTTCTTCGCCTTGTGTTTCTTTTTGGCCACGGTGGAGGTAAACGCCAACAGGGCAAGGGAGGAGAAGAGGAAAAAGCCTCGGTGCTGCATCCTGGGGCCACCGTGCGCTGACTTGCTCACTGCCTGTGCTGCTTCGTTCCCTCCCTCTAGCTTCTTAATAAATGGGACTATTACGTATTTCCTTTGGCCTAGGAGTGAGACAACAAGGGCTTGATAAAGTTAGAAGTTTGGGAACCTCTGGGTTGAATATTGCAATAATCTAGGCAGGAAATGATGAGGGCTTGGACGAGTGAAAATGGAGGAATGTGGTTAGAAGTCAACAGTTCCTTGAAGCAGTTTGAAAGTAGGGCAGGTGGAATTTGCTAATATTTTGCGGGTGCAGTTGGGAGGGAAAGACAGAAGTCAAATGACTTCAACGGTTTCTGGCCCAAGCAACTGGAAAAATGGCATTACCGTGAACTGAGATTCAGAAAATTGTGTATGAACCAGGTTTTTTTGCGGGGGGAGGAGGGCAATGGGAGACTCAATTTTATATATGTTTAGGAAAGAAGATACGAAGAGAAGGAAATGATACATATTCTGATCAGGGCCTTTATCCAGATTCTCCACCCATGCGCCCTTTAGGCTGTTGTGTTTTGACTTCTCACTCAAAATATGGACTGAACAAGTACAGAGGTACCATGTTAGACAGAGGAGACTCAGCAAGCCTTGTCTGATTCAGTCTTAACTAGCTTTGGGGCAATAGAGCTCTGCTTCAGGGAACAGAAAACTACAGGATTCCCGTATTTAAAATAATTATATCAATAGATTGAGCAGGATTTTAGAAAGATGGAGGCAGCAGTGTAGTTTTGAATCTCCTCAAATCCTCTTATGGAAATAGATCAAACCGAAAACCCTTTACCCCAAAACTAGAGGACAGTTTTCCCTCTGAACCCAAAAACAAGAGGGTGAGGCAAACCATCACCAATGTACCGGACTTGACTGGTATGGCATCCGCACAAAAGGGAGTGGCAGACAGGATGCCTTCCAGCTGCCAGCAGAAGTTCACTGGAAAGTACTGTGAACCAACGTGAGAACAGCAGCTGAAGCTGTGAGGGGTTTTGCCCAATTTCAAAGTGAGTAGGTACGAGGGACCCATGATAGACTCTGAAGGGCTGAAGCAGTTTAGTCTCTTTCCACTCTTGAGCCTGAGCAGCAGGAGCTTTCCAGGATGCAGCCCCACACAGAGGACAAACTACTGGGAGGAACAACAGACATGAATGATAAAAATCGAGGAGGGAAACAGAGCTAGGAAATCTCAAAAAGCAAACCAAACCACCATATCATTTGATACTACATTAAAATAAAGAGAAGTTTGGGGAAGTTTTAGAAAAGTTATCCTTAACTATGACTCCTTTTCAAAGTGGAGAAAAACCAATTTCATCTGAAAATGAATAACAGAAAAGGATTGTAGTCAAATCCCATACAAAGGTATTAGAAAAGAGAGGCTGGCACAGTGGCTCACGCATGTAATGCTAGCACTTTGAGAGGCCGAGGTGGGCGGATCACAAGGTCAAGAGATAGAGACCATCCTCTTTTTTTTTGAGATGAAGTCTCCCTCTGTCCTGTCGCCAGGCTGGAGTGCATTACAGCTCACTGCAACTTCCACCTCCCAGGTTCAAGCAATTCTCCTGCCTCAGCCTCCCAAGTAGCTGGGATTACAGGCGTGCAGCATCATGCCCAGCTAATTTTGTATTTTTAGTAGAGACGGGGTTTCACCATGTTGACCAGGATGATCTCCATCTCTTGACCTCATGATCCACCCACCTTAGCCTCCCAAAGTGCTGGGATTACAGACATGAGCCACCACATCCAGTCAATTTTGATACCTCTTTATGACTTAACAATAAAAAGGATGTATGGTTTTTTTCAACTGTCTCCAAAATAATCTCTTGTTATGCAGGGAGTACAGTTCTTTTCATTCATACATAAGTTCAGTAGTTGCTTCCCTAACTGCAAAGGCAATGTCAATTAGTTGAGTAGCTTCTGAAAGCAGCTTTGGGTTACAAGTGTGTGTGTTATACCCCCACATTAGTGTGCTGTGTGGGGCAGTTCAACACAAATGTTACGGTGTATTTTTGTGAATGAGAGTTGCTGTGTCACATCCATTCTCTAGAAAAATAATTAGTGTTATAGTCTTAAGATTTGTTTTCTAAAGTGGATACTGTGGGTTATTTTTGTGACCAGCCTGATGTTTGGAACTTTTTTTTTTCTTAAAAATAAACAAGTCCTTATTAAACCAGGAATTTGGAGGAAGAAAAAAGCTTCAGAAATAAAGACTAAAAAGAACACAAGAATGAGCAGTCCGGGCATAGTGGCTCACACCTGTAATCTTAGCATTTTCGGAGGCCGAGGCGAGTGGATCAGTTGAGGCCAGGAGTTCAAGACCAGCTTGGCCAACATGACGAAACCCTGTGTCTACTAAAAATACAAAAATTAGACAGACATGATGATGTGCACCTGTAATCCCAGCTACTCAGGAGGCTGAGGCACAAGAATCACTTGAACCCAGGAGGTGAAGTTTGCTGTGAGCTGAGCTTGCACCAGTGCAAATCTGGCCTGGACAGCAGAGTGAGACTCAAAGGAAAAAAAAAAGAATGAATGAACATAATGGATAAAACCTTAAAAAAAGAAGAAAGTTTTAAAATTCAGAAAGAAGTTAATAAAAAGGATTCTAGAGAAATGACAAATATAAAAGATAGGCAAAAAAGTCAGGACGGTTCCGAAAAGAGTAATGGAAACACACAGAGAAATGTGGTATACATAAAAGTGACATTTCAAACCAATGGGGCAGTTTTTCAGTAAATTGTAATTCTTACATGTTGGGGTATAAATAAATAAATTATCTGGAAGAATCCTTAAAGTGGCAAAAGTAGATGCTTCTAAGGGAGGGGTAGGTGGTGCCTGGGAAACTTGGGGAAAGGGGGAATTTCCATTGTCACCATTTTGTATCTTTCCAACATTCTGTCATGTGAATCTATTACCTTTGAAGTCTAAAATGCCTGAGTTCAAGTCAAAATGCTAGCACTTGCTAGCTAGCTCTTAATCTTGGACAAATTCTTAAGACTCTCTACCTTCTTATCTGTGAAATGGGTGAATAATTTAGCCAGGTGCTGCCTGGCACAGAATAAACTCTCAATAAATATAAATTGCTAGTGGAAACACCCAAATGTCTAGTAACAGATGAATGGATAAGCCAATGTGGTGTAGTCATACAATGAGAATATTAGACCACATGAAACACAATAAAGTTCAGACACACACTACAGCATAGATAAACCTTTAAAACATAGTACTAAATGACTAAGCAAAACAAGCAATAACAAGGCGAATGGGGCATGCTAGGGTTTGAATATGCTCTTTTGTTGCTGTAATTCTGTGCCTCTGTGCATTAATATTTGGATGCATGCAATGCCAGCCTGGAAATTGATCTTCACACTGCAGTTTTCCGGAAACACTCACCAACCGATGTAACATACATTCTATTTGTTAATGGGCATGCATGTGAAAAAGCAGTGTAGAAGGTAGGCTAATATTAGAAAATGGTTAAATCCTTAATAACTGCAAGTGCGGTTATATAATGGATGCTGTCAATGTTCATAACTTAAACCTGGGTACCTGGTCAAAATAATGCTTGAGAAACATTAACATTGAGCTAAATTGCAAAAACTAAAAATAAATAAACAAATAAATAAAATAAAACGTAGTAAATGAAAGAAGCCAGATACCAAAGGTCACATATTATGTGATTCCATTTATGTGAAATGTCGAAAAGAAGTAAATCCAGAGATTGGTGGTTGCCTGGGGCCAGAGGGTGGAGGGAATGAGGAATGACTGCTAATGGGTAGAGGGTTTTTTTTTTTTTGCAGGGGATGATGAAAATGTAATGGCTCAGATAGTTGTAATGATTGTACAACCTTGTGACATACTAAATGCCCCTGAACTGTACAATTTTCTGTTTGTTTGTTTTTTATTTTGAGACTGAGTCTTGCTCTGTTACCCAGGCTGGAGTGCAGTGGCGCCATCTCAGCTCACTGCAACTTCCCCCTCGCGGGTTCAAGCCTATCTGGGACTACAGGCACCCGCCACTAGCCCGGCTGATTTGTTGTATTTTCAGTAGAGACGGGATTTCACCCTGTTGGCCAGGCTGGTTTTGAACTCTTGAGCTCAAGTGATCCGCCCGCCTCAGCCTCCCAAAGCGCTGGGATTACGGGTCGCTCCCGGCCCAATCGTATGATTCTGAATAGTGAATTTTATGTTAGGTGAATTATAGATCAGAAACTAATTTTTTTTTTTTTTTTTTTGAGATGGGGTTTCTCCATGTTGGTCAAGCCGGTCTCGAAATCCCGATCTCAGGTGATCCGACCAGCTCGGCCTCCTAAAGTGCTGGATTACAGGCCTGAGCCACCGCGCCCGACCCTCAGAAACTAATTTTCACAAAGTAAATTATTGATTTCCTCGCGGTGACCATCCACTGCTCACATCTTCCCTTCCCTCACCGTTCCTATCCCGCCCTACCCCTACTGCCCCCAACCCTTTCTGCCTATCGCTCTGCCTCCAGGCGGGGTCCCCTCCAGCTAAGCAGCGTCTCATAGTTCGGCGCCTGCGTCTTGCAGCTTTTGGGGGCAACCCAGGGCGCATGGGCGCCCACCACTCATCCTGTGAAAATGGAGGCTCCAAGCCGTTTTTTCTCGTGTACTTCAGTTAATGGTGATGGCCAAGAAGGGTGCACGTGCTGGAATGGATGGAGGAGGACCTGGCGGGCCTCTTAATATTTAAATACCTCCAAATCTTCAGTTCGTCTGCCTGTAACCTCCGGATGCCGTGGTCATAAACCAGGTTGACTGCCTGCAAGCGCTCATAAATACTGAGGACTTTGGAGACCCACAGGCCTTACCCTTTGCATGCAGTGTGACCCAAGCCCATTGCTGAACCTCACTAGGAACGTGGCACAGTGTTACTGGATTGTGTGTGGTTGCAAAGCTGAACTGAAGTAGTGCATCTCACTGGCCCGTGCATAGGTGTTGAGTCAATGGTGATCTATACTCCAGGGTCTTTTCTGGGTCAGACTCAAGCTGCTGCAGTTCACTTGGCTGGGTCCAGGTTATCAGCTGCATCTAGAACTGTGAGTCCTTGCCATTTCCCTGGTGGTAGATTCCCGTGTTTTGTACTGACCTTTCCCAGCTGTGATCATGTATGTATAAAGTAACCCAAAGCTGTTGGAGATGAGTCCTGAATCTTATTTTCTAAAACACCTATCTGATAGGCCATGAGACATAAGGCCATCATCCATGGGCGATTTTGTACATTTCTTTTGCTCCACCCAGCCTTATCTTCTGCCATCTTCAACTTCTATCCAAATTTTATTCTTTTAGTCCTAACCTCAGATTCTGCATCTTACTTCTGCCATTTCCCCCAATTCTGATTCTTTGTATAAGCCCATGAAATCTCTCCCCTTTTGACCTTCTTAGTCCTGGACCACATTCCTTCTTCTTTCCTCAGTTCTGCTGTCTATTCCCCCATACAACTTTTACTTCCTCCTTTTTTTTTCTTTTTCTTTTTTTGATATGGAGTTTTGCCCTGTTGTTCAGGCTGGAGTGCAGTGGTATTATCTTGTCTTACTGCAACCTCTGCCTCCCAGGTTGAAGCAATTCTCCTGCCTCAGCCTCCCAAGAAGCTGGGACTACAGGCACCCACCACCACACCCAGCTACTTTTTTGTATTTTTAGTAGAGATGGGGTTTCATCGTGTTGCTGTGTTGGCCAGGCTGGTCTCAAACTCCTGACCTCAGGTGATCCACCCACCTTTGCCTCCCAAAGTGCTGGGATTGCAGGCATGAGCCACCGTGTCCAGCCATAATTCCTTCCAAGGCAGCCTTTGATCCCCACCCCACCAAGGAAAACCCACAGTCAACAGCATCTCAAAGCTCAGAAGCCTCTTTATTACTCATCTATTAATTCTATTACACTTCTTTATCAAGTTTTAAAAGTATGTTATGAGAATAAATAAATTGTTATCTATCTATATATCTGGAAAACCAGCTGGTTTCCAAAGTAAAGCCAACAGTCTCAGCAGCTCTTAGATTCTGTAGCCATAGTATTGAGAAATTGCCGTATCTTTTTCCTGTTAGGTGAAGAACTGTGGTTTTCCCAAAGAGGTGTATTTGGCAGCATTCTCACGCTCTTGCTGAGCCTTCCTTTTCATGGCCTCACATTCTGGCCTCTGCTCTTTTGTGATGGGCGTTGACACTACTGGCCCAGAAATGTCAGGTGTCCTCCACGGCCTGGGTTGTAAGCTGAAGTCTTGGATTAGAAACTGATTTTGAGGCTTGGGCAGTGACTGGAGATTGGTCACAGCAGTGGAAACAGGCTCCCGCTGGAGAGAAGAGCAAGGTGATGTTTTGTAGGGTGCTGGCCTAGAAGCAGCAGAATGAGAGGCAGTAGGAGGCTGGTTAGGATTGGCTGAACCGGGTTTGGTTGCATTGGTCGAAATTGGCTGAGCTGGTCTGGCCGGACCTGTCAAAGATGTGTTGGTAGGAGCTGGTTGGGAGGGACTGACAGCAGTTGACTGAGCTGAGTTAGTAGAACCAGGTGGAGCAGGGCAAGCCACCGCAGGCCTACGTGTGGCCGGAGGGTGTGGCCGCCGAGAAACAGGTCGAGCTTGAGGTTTGTCTGGGATCAGAAAGGGCAACGGTACCAACTTGACCTTCCCAGGTGGTGGCAACTCATACTGGGATGGAGATGGACACTGTTTTTCAGCATTATCATCTAGTTTCTCGGCCTTGACTTGAGTTTTGTCCAGGCCTTTCCCCTCATGTTGGGTATCCAGCAATAGTTTGAGAGCTGAGAATGGCCGGGGGTTCTGGGTGTTGCTTGAGCTCCCCAGAGTCCAGGAGGAAGATAATCCAGTTTTCTTGTCAGTCTTTTTCCCCAGTGCATGGAAAACTTGCACGGACTCTGGCATGTGCATGCCTAGGGAGCTTCGTGGCTTTTTGAAGGTCTCTTGGCTAAGCTCAGGTTGATTTTTCTTCCGCTTCCTATTTGGAATGGCTTGCTTCTCTTCTACGTTGACTTTGGTCCCTGACTTCTTACTGTCTCCAGATTTCTTGGAGCTGTTCTCTCTGCTCCTTTTGGTCTTCTCCTGCCCATGCCTTTTAGTTGTGCTGCCTCTGCTGGATGCGGCTTTGTGATGTTTGTTGCTAGAACGCTTGCCCTTGCTAACAGAAGCGCTGTCACTGGCGGTAGCCCTGCAAACAGCCACTTCTCCCTCTAATAGGCTCTCTGGGTTCTTTGGCTGGATTTTGGCCTTGGGAGCACCCTGGATAGGCTCGGCAGCTTTATGCTTGTTCTTCCTGACTTGACCAGAGTGGCCCTTTATGACACTTGGCTTTTCCTGCACCTGATTTACCTTGATGGTGCTGGGATCTTTGGCTTTCTTTGCGGAGGGACTTTTGGGTTGGTCAAGATCTTGTATGGAACTGAAGATGTAGGGACTTTTGGGTTGGTCAAGATCTTGGAAGGAACTGATGATCGAGGGGAGGTGAGTATCCTCCACCAATGTAGTGACATCTGCAAGATCACTGCTAGACTCAAACCCATTTTCAAGTATCCCTTGGCCCTCAAGACTCAGGCTGTTCTTTCCCAGATTGGCATTTTCGGAACCAGGCTGCTCCTCTTGGCCAAGAGGATCAATGCAGGTCAGGAGCTGGTGAATATCAGGGATTTCTAGAGGAAGAAGTGGAGGATCTTGATTTTCTACTGGGAACTGGTAGGCATCTAGAGGGTTTGAAATCTTGGTTTTAATCTCATCCAAATCCTTATTCTCGGTTTTGTCCTGGCTTGGAGCTGGAGACCAAGAGACTGGTTGGACTCTGGACTGGAATTATCATTGAGATGTCCCCAAGCTCAGGTGATGGATTACTCTCACATATCTTGGTATTTCTGCTACTGGAGGACTTGGTGAATCTTGGAGTTTGTGCCAGACACAATGTCTGGCTTGCAGATTGCAATCCCAGGGAAGTATCCATCCCCAGGGAAGTTTCCATCACTACAAAGGAATCAAGGAAGAAGTCAATCCCTAGTAAGTGAGATGGTCCCCCTATATGCCAATGCAGCAATGGGATACCTTTCTAACATGTGCAAGTCATTTCTACTAGCTCTTCTTCAGGACCATGGAGAAGATCCTGTATTGGGTGATAGGCAGTGACTGTTCTCTTACTGGTTATCATTTGCTATGATTGTTTTTTAGCTTTCTTTGAATTTTATAGGGTTTTTGTAAGCCAAATAAAAAGTAAAAGTGATTTTTCAATAGGAGATGTTTTATAAAGCCTCATATTCTCATATAGGGTCCTTTCCATTCTCTCCACTCTCCTAAGAGAATAAGAACCCTTTACAACATGGACCAGGGGAGAGAGTGGACCCCTTCCTCATGAAATATATAAGCAAGCACAGATTCTGAGTCTGTTTGTTTTGGAGAGGATCTCTGATCACAAGGTCTTAAATCCTACTGTAAGTTAAGGAAAATCAAAATGTCACTGCAAAAATAAGTGTTCTAAAGTGCCTTCCAAAGAGACTAAAGTAACAGATTAAGGGAGAACATTACAGTGTGCTGGTGCAGGGGAACTGATCAGCCAGGGCACTAAAAAGTGTGGTATCTCTTAGGACTCTCTTACATGTGGCATAGATGGCCAATATAGTGTTCAACTTTCCCACTTTGAAGATGTTCTTTTTTTCTTTCTTTCTTTCCTTTTTTTTTTTTTTTTTTTATAAGATGAGCTTTTACCATGATGGCCAGGCTGGTATTGAACTCCTGACCTCAGGTGATCCACCCACCTCAGCCTCCCAACTGAGGTTACAGGCATGAACCACTGTGCCCAGCAGAAGGTGTTCTTACATAGAGCCTGAAAATGAACAGCAGTGTTCAAGAGTAGTGGTTGAAGTCTCAGAACTTAAATTCTACCTATCCATGGACTTACCACTCGGCTATAGGTTCGACCCTCCTTTTCACTACTGTGTTTATTCCTCTCCTTTCTTGCTGTTTGTACTCACCTTCAAAACTGGTTACTGTGCTGGGTTGAGCAGACACAGAGTAATGCATCCCGGAAGTGGAGACTGGTGGTAGAACTTTTGTGGGCTGAACCTCCTTTAGCAGCATCACCATTTGTGGTTGATGGGCAGAGGCCCTATTTCCTGTATATGATGCAGAGCCATAGGATTGCAGCCAGGGGCCAAGTTCTCCAGATAGTTGAGGCCCCAGTCTGCCTGGATTATAGTAGTGAACCTGGCTTCCTTTCTGGTAGAAAAGTGACAGGCTATGGCCCTGCTGATTTGGAATTTGAGATTGTGTTGGATACAGAGGGACTATAATATTGGCATCTGAAGTTTTATCATGCTGGGCTGTCATAGACATGGAAGAGACAGTTGTGTTCTGGTCAATGATAGTCACAGTGAAGTCCCTGAGTGAGAATGACTTCTTTGCTGTGCTTCCTGTAATGTCCAACTCAAAAATGCCTGGGTAAGAGGCAGCTGAAGTAGAGCTATGGCTCTGGCCACTAACCCCAGACAACATAGATGTGGTAGAATGTTGGTAAAGGTAGGCACTGCCCGTGAGTGGCTGGAAAGAGGTGCCAGAGGCTGATGGCAGTAGCCATGCTGAGCTAACAGCTGGAGCAGAGGCTCGGGGGAAGTTGGAAATGCTTCCTGTTAGGGAAGCCGCATTGCTCACCACAGGAAGAGAGAGCTGCAGAGAATTTGCAGTTCCAAGTAAAGAGGTATTTTGGAAATGTTCTGTAGGAAAGAAGAGAGATGAACAAACTGGTGAGATTGAGAAAATATCACCTTATCTGAAGAACAGCATCATCTTAAGGTTGTTACCATCAGGAAGCCTCTAATACTGATACTCACTGAGATACCAAAAGCCAAACACTTTACGATGGCCAAGAGTGCTGAAGCAGTTTGGTCCTCTTCTGATGAACTGTCTTTGTGTCCAGTTTTGGCACAGATGTGCAGAAGACCCAAGTGGTCTGGCTTTGTGCTTTATTTCCTAGGCTACAAGCAACCTTCTCCATTCCCTATCTTTCTCTTGAATCTTGGCGAGTATTGGCTCATAACTATTTCCTAGAATTGGAGCATTTTAGAACTGGGAGGTCCTACTGGGAAATCCTTAGAGAAGGACCTCATTTGATGAATAACCGAGGCTGAGAGAGGTCACATTTACCTGTTTAAGTTTACCATTATGTTAATATCATTGCCATGACTTCCTTGCCAGGATTCTTTTCTCTAAGCATAGACCAGAAACCAGGAGAAACACAACTTTTAATATGGCAGTTTTGGCCTAGTACAATATACTACAGTTATTACTTTTATAACCCTTACTGTCACATTTTGCTTCTACAGGTCATGTGACATTTCCTAGAGTTTACATTAACCCAGGCCATTGGTAAATCTGAAGGGTCATTCTTTGCCCTCCTCAAGCCTGTGTTGTTGTTGTTGTTGTTTTTAATCATAAGTCAAAATACTACCTGATAGTTTCACAAGAAATTATTATTTTTTTGAGACAGAGTCTCATTCTGTCACCAAGGCTGGAGTGCAGTGACTTGACTTTGGCTCACTGCAGCCTTTGCTTTCGGGGCTCAAGGAATTCTCATGCCTCAGCCTTCCCAGTAGTTTGGATTATAGGTGCCCACCACTGAGCCTGGCTGTTTTTGTATTTTTAATAGCGACCGGGTTTCACCATGTTTGCCAGACTGGTCTTGAACTCCTGATGTCAAGTGATGTGCCCACCTCGGCCTCCCAAAGTACTGGGATTATGAGGTGAGCCACTGTGCTCGGCCTTGAACCATCATTTCTAAAACACATTTCTAAAATGTTTACATTAAAAACTGTCAAGTGTCATCTATGTTCAAAAGGAAAAAAAAAAAAAAACAACTGAATGTGCCTTCTGATAAGCTGCTTTATCTAGGGATGCTCTATTCTATCCTGTTTCCTTCCTAGGTTATTGATCTAAGCGTTTGCTAAAACCAATTTCATTTTGTCCTATTCTGAATAGATTTCACTCTGTTGCCTTTGTGCTTTTTTTCCAAAATTTAAAATACATTTTTTCTCTTGAAATCATTGTGTAATTCTGCAGAGCATATCCCAAGGGTAAGTATAGGGGATCCGGTCTTTCTGCTTTCATTTAAAATCCCAAATTCCTTACCCTAGAATATCTGCCTCCTTATAACCCAGTACTCTTCATTTTTTCTTTCCATCTAGTTCAGAGAGGAATCTCCAGAGCATGAATATTACTTTTGTTTTTTTGTTTGAGAAAGAGTCTTGCCTTGTCAGGCAGGCTGAAGTCCAGTGGTGTGAACATGGCTCACTGCAGCCTCAACCTCCTGGCCTCAGTCAACTTATCCTACCATCTCAGCCTCCTGGGTATCTGGCATGCCACCACACCTGGCTTATTTTTTAAAAAAAAATTGTAGAGATGGGTCTTGCCATGTTACCCGAACTGGTCTCGAACTCCTAGGCTGAAGGGATTCTCCCATCTCAGCCTCCCAAAGAACTGAGATTACAGGCAGGAGCTACCATGCCCAGCTGAATATTAAAAATATCACTACACATCACTAAATATAAAATAGAAATTTTGAAATATTAGTGAGGGAGATGTCCTCCCAAAGTGCTGAGATTACAGCTGTGAGCCACTGTGCCTGGCGGAATATTTAAACATCACTAAATTTAAAATAGTAGAGTTGAAATATTAGCAAAGGGAGATTATTACACATGAACCGCCACAGAATATGTTGCCAGTTTTCTATGCCACTTAGGTTTTCTCTCTGTTTTTGTTGAAGTGAACACCCTCAAGAAGTGTCTGATTTCATTTAGTATATGTGTGCCCTTTAAGACTCAGCATTAGGAAAAAAAAAGGGGGGCCAAAGAGAAAATACAATCTATAATTGTAATGTAGCAGATAAGGAAACAGACATTGTGAGAGAATGAAGCGTTTTCTAAAATCACACAGCTAGTAAATGTCAAAGCCAAAACTGAAATGAGGTCTCTAGATTTCTACTTCAATACTTTCCCTGCTGTTCCAAGCTCTTTGGGACTACAGGGGTAAAGAAATCTAAAGTTAGGGGGAAAGAAGTTAAATGAAAACTGACAAGAAAGGTTCTCTCTTTACCTGACATGGTCAGAGAAGAAGAAACATCAACTGTAGATTCAAGGGATGAAGAGATGATCCTAGTGGATGTCTGGGTGGCTGAAGCCAAGGAGTGAATGTGTCCAGTATGAAAGCCACCGGTCACACTGGTCACTGGCCACCTGCAATGATACAAATTTACAGGCTACCCCAAGATTCTACCAGCTGGCAATAGGCTTGGTGAGAGAATGATGTCACAGAGCAGGCAGTTTAAAGGTGTGCGATAGCCAATAGGGAGGCCAGATTCTCAGGAAGATGGGATTGGCTGGCAGAGGTGGTAGGAAAGCTGAAACAGTACCAAGTGGCTGAGTTCCGGGGAGGTGAAATCCTGCAAGATCATCTTGGTGTTTCTTATACGTGTTCACTAATATCATTGACTAATATTGATATTTTATATGTCATATTTCATAGTACATAATACCATACATTTATAATTGTATAGTACATACACAACATCCTTCTGGAAAAAGGAAAGGAACACCTAAGCTGAGCAATTACCATTGATCTAAAAGCATTTCCGTGAATCTGATTAATGAATTTACTGCTGCTTTTAAGGGCCAAATGAAGAGATTAAAGAGCCCTCTTCTGTAACTTGGTTGAAGAGCAAAGTTTGTTGACTGCCCTTTGTAGGAAATGATGTGGTCCAAAGCTCCTCTCTTTTAATTTCTTCTTCTTGAATCCTACATTCCTTGGGCTGGCCCAGGCTGGGCCAGGTTGGACTTGGATCTCTCTTCTGTTCTTCTTTTTTTCCCCTTTATTTTAGGCATAGTTTATGGGCCAAGCCTCGATCTTACATTTTTACATTCGTTGATATGACTTCCTCTCTACTTCTAGGGCAGGGGTCTTCTTTTCAGTGTCCTGATGTTTGGAAAATGGACTCTGCTCATGAGAAGCAAAGACCAGACAGGTGGAAGACAGGGCTGACTGCAGACCTTCCCTCTTCTAGCCTTTGTTCACAATTCTTTTTTTTTTTTTTTTAAGATGGGGTTTCCACATGATGGCCAGGCTGGTATTGAACTCCTGAGCTCAGCTGATCCAGCCACCTTGGCCTCCAAAAGTGCTAAGATTACAGGCATGAGCCACTGTGCCTGGCCTGTTCACAATTCTGTTGCCCATAGTTTGCTACCTCTGACTCCTTGAGCCACACAAACATCCTGCCATCCTGCTTTTTTATATGTGAGAGGCATTCAGGGTATTTTCTTTCTCCTCACGTAAAAGGATCCAGTGTGGCAGTTACTTATAGCCTCCTCTCCATTGCAAACAGCCACTGTGGAATCTTGGGCCTTTAGAATTCCCTGGTGGCCATGCTTGGGCGCAAGGGCCAGGCAAAATGAAGAGTTGAATTTAGTTGAGAACAGGAAACAGGCAAGGTGAAGGTATAGGAACTAAGAGGTTTGTGTGGATTTTTGGTTTCTGTGAGAAACAATTACACACCCTTATTTTGTATTAACAGAACATACAATTCAATATTTTTTTTGTGGCTAGATAGTCCAGAAACTTCCATGACTTTTGTACACTGAAGAAAATAATCATAATATATTTTTTCCATTTTGTTTTATGTCATATTGCTCATTTATATCATTCATTAGTATGTCTATAGAATGTAGATTGCTTTTATTTTATTATTTTTATTTATTTATTTTTGAGACAGCATTTCATGCTTGTTTCCCAGGCTGGAGTGCAGTGGCACGATCTCGGCTCAATGGAACCTCTACCTCTTAGGTTCAAGCAATTCTCCTTCCTCAGCCTCCTCAGTAGCTGGGATTACAGGCACCCACCATCATGCCTAGGTACTAATTTTTGCATTTTTAGTAGAGATAGGATTTCACCATATTGGCCAGACTGGTCTCAAACTCCTGACCTCAGGTGATCTGCCCACCTCAGACTCCCAGAGTGCTGGGATTATAGGCGTGGGCCACTATACCTGGACTATAGATTGCTTTTAAATATCCTGGTTTTGCTACATGTTTTTTCCTTGTCATATTTTTAAGGAATACAACAGTGTAAAACATATTGCATGTGTTTCTCATAATGGCTGTTTATTTTGAAACATCATGAGCTATCTTGGCCTGATACATTTTGTGGAGGAAATCAAAAGGGGTGTGTGCAAAAGGCGCTGTGGTGAGTTGTGCTGTGTGCTCAAGCAAAGAAAGAGATGTCTGCAGGCAGCTCAAGTTGACCTGGATTGCCTTGGTTTTTGTTTTCCTAGTTAGTGCTTTTCTCACTAACTTGTCTTATAACTGTGTAAAATGAGTTAGGGCTGAGTTGCTGGTGATTTCTGTGTGATATCAGCTGGTTTGGGGGAGGAAATCTATGGATATAATGATTATTCTTGGTGGTAAGCTTTTAGAGACACCTGAATTGATCTTTTTTTTTTTCCTTGAGATGGAATCTCGCTCTGTTGCTCAGGCTGGAGGTTAGTGGCACAGTCTTGGCTGACTGCAATCTCCAACTTCGGGCTTCAAGCAATTCTCCTGCCTCAGACTCCTGAGTAGCTAGAATTACAAGTGCACACTACCACACCCAGCTAATAATTGTAATTTTAGTAAAGGTGAGATTTCACCATGTTGGCCAGGCTGGTCTTGAACTCCTGACCTCAGGTTATCCGCCCACCTTGGCTTCTCAAAGTGCTGGGATTACAGGCGTGAGCCACCACATCTGGCCCTGAATTGATCTACTGAGGGACTTTTCTAGTGTGTGTGAGAAGGTACAGAATGCCAAGAGCCCACAAGAGGATAAACTCAAGATGGGACCTCTGAAGATAAGTATTGCATTTATAGACCTATTTTCTCATCTCTTCCAATAATGCTTCTAGTATTATGAGATACAAATTTTTTCCATGATTGTATGTGGGTGGGTGATGCTTATCTGAGAAGAAATTTGGAAAGGGCTGACAGTGTAGAGTTAGGCTTAAGCTATACAAGATTTTGAAGTTTTATTTTCCCCCTTTGCGCTTAGTTGTTTTTTTTGTTTTTTTTGAGATGGAGTTTCGCTCTTGTTACCCAGGCTGGAGTGCAATGGCGCGATCTCGGCTCACTGCAACCTCTGCCTCCTGGGTTCAGGCAATTCTCCTGCCTCAGCCTCCTGAGTAGCTGGGATTACAGGCACGCGCCACTGTGCCCAGCTAATTTTTTTTTTTTGTATTTTTAGTAGAGACAGGGTTTCACCATGTTGACCAGGATGGTCTCGATCTCTTGACCTCGTGATCCACCCGCCTCGGCCTCCCAAAGTGCTGGGATTACAGGCGTGAGCCACCGTGCCCGGCCTGAGCTTAGTTTTATGACTCAGATAGCCTACTTTGATGCTTGTATGTAATGTGAGACTAATATACACTAAGTATCTGCAAGCCAGACTAGTGTCTGTTTTTTTTGCATTCCAATGGAAATCAAGGGAATCCATAGCTACTACAGATTTTACTGGTAGTATAAGTTGGAAGGAGTATAGTAAAAATATTTCTGATAGTAATAAAATGTTTACTTATTAAAACATTCAGTTCTAGCATTCAATTTTAGTTAGGCAAATGCTTATTATATGTTGACCTTTCTTGGTCCCCAGCCTCTATATTGATACTCTGTCCATAGTTCCAGCCACTTATCAATCTTTTTCAGTCTTAATATCATTTTCACCTCTAAAATAAATCTTAGATGTAGGACAAAGATCCTAAAAAGCTTGAGCACAACGCTCTGGAACTTAGCATTAAGTCCTACCATGACCTAAAGCCTCAGTTTTTATAGTTAGGGCTTTGTCTTGTTTCGGAGACCTACTCCCTGCATTTTGCACCTGTCAGGATGACTGGTACTTGGTGTAACTTAACCAGTCCTTCTACCCATTAGGCCCTTCCTACTCTCTCCATATTCTCTTTCTGGTTTTATTGAAGACTGGAATCCCCCAAATTCTGACATGGTATCTGCGGCCCTACTGGTAGACTTTGTCAGTATCAACTGATTAGCTGTTTGGTGCTCTAAAAATGCCTTGCTCCTGTGATTTCCATCCCAGAGTACTATACACTTGTGAATGCATTTTTCTACCTCATGTTGGACTCAGTCTCATCTAAAGACCTACTCTGTCAGTTCCCATACTTTGTAGAAACCCTATTCTGCCTTGGTCTGGGTTTTGCTGTGTCAACTGTAACTGACTTTGTTCTCACCCCAGTGTTGTGTCTTTTAGCAAAATGAAAGTGTAAGCACAATATAGCTTTTCTAGTTTCTGAAAAACTTAGGTCACATTTTGTATCTTGTCATATCTGTAAACTTTTCTACCGTTTGTAGTTTTGGGCCCCTATGCAGCTATTGGATTTTTTTTTCATAAATTACAGAAGAATATTTTGTTACTTATTTATTTTTTTTGAGCTGGAGTCTTGGTGTGTTACCCAGGCTGGAGTGCAATATATGCCTTGATCTTGGCTCACTGCAACCTCAGCCTCCCGCATTCAAGCCATTCTACTGCCTCAGCCTCCCAAGTAGCCTGAAGTACAGGTGTGAGCCACCGTGTCTGGCTAATTTTTGGGCTAATTTTTGTATTTTTAGTAGAGACGTGTTTTCACCATGTTGGCCAGGCTGGTCTCAAACTTCTGATTTCAAGTGATGCACCTGCCTCAGCCTTCCAAAGTGCTGGGATTATGGGCTGGGATCACTGCACCTGGACAGAATATTTTATAATTGATTGTCAAATTTGAATGTGGACTGGGTGCAGTGGCTCATGCCTGTAATCTTCGAACTCTGGATGGCCAGGGCAGGCTGATCACTTGAGGTCAGGAGTTCAAGACCAACCTGGTCAACTTGGTGAAACTCCATCTTTACTAAAAATACAAAAAATTAGCCGGGTGTGGTGGTGTGCGCCTATAGTCCCAGCTATTTGAGAGACTGAGGCAGGAGAATCATTTGAACCCAGGAGGCAGAGGTTGCAGTGAGCTGAGATCCTCCTACTGCACTCCAGCCTGGGTGACAGAGCGAGACTCCATGTCAGTAACAACAACAACAACAAAATAATTGAATATTCCTGATTGTATGTTTGCTATGTTCAGCTAACATGTCTTTATCTTTTTCCAGTTAACAGTTTATGAATATTGACACATTTTTAATGATGTGGAAATTTTCGGAATTGTAAATGTTGATGTATTTAAAACTGGTTAGAATATTACTCTCTCAAAAGTGTTAATAAAGCTGGTGGTCTAGCTCTATTAACATTCATTTATTCAATAACTCTGACCTTTCTGATCCTCGGTTCACCAAAGTCTAAAATGATTGCAAAGATTACTAAAAATATATGTAAGATACTTCCATAAGTTAGAAAGTAAGAAGTAAAAATTACTTTTAAAAATCTACAATCCTAATTACTTAC